CTGCTCCGAGGGGCCGCAGCGCGTCTCCCTGCCGGGAGATGCAGCGCAGGTCCGTCCGGCAGCTCATCTCCCAGGGATGCTCCTGCGGGAGGAAGGGGTTGGGGGACGGAGGAGCGCGTGATCCGTGCGGGATCACCTGGCGGTTTGACTTGCAGCCAGGTGTCATGGCTTTGAGCCCGGCTCTGCCCTGGGTCCCGGCCGGGATCAGCGTGGGTGGTGGGTGCAGACACGCGGAGTTTCTGCGGGAGCCCTGGTGCCTGCTGTAATCTTGTCTTCTCCCTGCACACTCCCCAGGGGGTGAGCCCTGGCGTTCCTGGCAACTTTCGGAGTCTTGGGGTGGGTTTTGTCTGTGTTGGGGTTTAAAGGGAGCATCACAGTCCCCTGCCGGAGCTGGGACACGCTTTCGATGCGGGAAGAAAGAGAAGTGGGCTCGTTGGCACTGTTCCAGCCCAGTCCAGCGACCGCTTCTGCAGACATTGCCGGGCAAGTCCTGTGGCGTGCGGTCGACAGCTTAGCCATGGTTTGGTCCCCGCATTTCGTTTTTTGCCTGCTCTGCTGGCTCTTTAACTCCTTCTAAAGGCAGAAAGTCTGATTCACAGACCGGGAGAGTCCTGCCTTGTGTGGAGGCCGTTGCCCGTAAAGCGGGCAGCACCTGCCCGCAGGCAGCGACGCGATTCCCAGCATCTCCTCCTGCCTTCGAAACCTGAGGTTTCTGGTGGTGGGGGATGAAATCCAAAGCAGGCAGGGAAGGGTGCCGGGCAGCCGGGATCCTGGCCGCCGGTTCGCCCACCGCGGTGCCTCATCCCCACGTCGGGAATGAGTCAGGCCAGGTCATTTCTTCTTGGGAACTACCAAGTCATTTAGGGATTCATGTGGGAGGCTCTGATGTGCGGCCAGGTTGGCTCTGTCAGCACCGGTGGCTCTATTAACATGCAGAAAACGATGCTTAAAATAATACTAGGAAGGTTAGAAAGCCGAATGCGCAAGGATTAGGCAATACGGCCATTCAGGGTACCCATATAATTTTAATTTGGCTTCCATTATAGTTGTGTGTAATGATGCAGCCTTTAATAACACGATCGCATACTGGTTTTCCACCGGCACCTGCTCATTCAGAAAAAAGGATGCCGGGATGAATCAGCGCGCCGTGGTGCAGGCGGTTGTTATCTGAGCGAGGCAGCAGCATCTCGGCATGTGATGGGGCTGGGTCACGGCACGGCGGCAAGGGCAGGCGCTCTCTGATATGGCCTGGGATGCTCCGCTGGCATCGGCAGAGCCCTTCGGCTCCCACCCTCCCGTGGGGGCTCACCCGGCCGGACCCCCGCTGTTAGCCTGGCCGGCACCCTGGTGCTTGGGATGCAGACCCCGGCAC